ATTCCCTTGCATGTTATCCCTAAATTAGTCAATGTAGCAGCACTCTCCTAGATTTCTCCCCAAATCAGTAATATATCTAGTCTTCGTTTTTTGAAAAATTAAAACCTCATTTTGAGTCATAGTATCTTTCGCTCACCTTGTACAATAACAACAACAAAAAAAACAGGAAACAAAAATAATAATAACAATTGTTATTAATATTATTATTATTATTATTATTATTATTGTTATTATTATTATTAACTTGTAGTTAATACTATTATTTCTATTGTAATAGTTATTATTATTAATGTATATATATATATATATATATATATATATATATATATATATATATATATATATATATATATATATATATATATATATATATATATACAACAAAAGAAGAACAGGAAACAAAAATAATAATAACAATTGTTATTAATATTATTATTATTATTATTATTATTATTGTTATTATTATTATTGTTAGCTTGTAGTTAATACTATTATTTCTATTGTAATAATATATATATATATATATATATATATATATATATATATATATATATATATATATATATATATATATATATATATATATATTCATTAATAATAATTATTATTGCAATAGAAATGATAGATAATGATATATATATATATATATATATATATATATATATATATATATATATATATATATATATATATATATATATATATATATATGTATATATATATATATATATATATATATATATATATATATATATATATATATATATATATATATATATGTTGCCTGGCTTGTGGGACCCTTAAACCTCAAACAATTTAAAAATTGAACTATCTAATAACATGGTAACAAGTTCTTCTACTTAAGTTTTAGGGGGTCTTTTCATATTTGTTTATTTAGGTAACTTTATGAGTGATAAAAAACATCGAAAATTACCAAAATATTACAATATTTGTTTAAAAACAATAAACGCTACGTTTTTTATATAAACAATAAATAAAAATAGTTCATAACAAAAATATAAAATTTACAATTATTTCAAAAAAAATTGAATCAAAAAGTTAATATTGAATAATACTATTTAGTGCAGCTTCGGCATGATCCAACTTTTTCCTTCTATTTCGATTTCTCTTGTATACATCAGTAAAAAGAAATGTATCTTATCTTTTCTTTTAGGAATGTACTTTGTTAACAAGTTGTTGAACTAACTTGACTTTTCTCTCTGAACAATCATTCACAACATCAAGATTCATAACGGCTGTTTCAAAATCTTGATAAAAATCATTTAAAATCCAATACTCTGGAGGAAGCTTCATCCATTGAATCTCAGTTTTTCCATGACCAAGTATGTCAAACACAAGCCATGACTTCTCTGTAATTTGTTGAACTAAACTGGGAGGCTCATCCTGTAAACAGTTTAGACTCAGAGTGTCTTTATTCAACACCTGTCTTTCTAAGGAATATTCTTCTATGGGACCTTGTTTCAGACTAATAAGTCTCTTAGCAATGTCGCCATGTTCTTGACATTTCTTATCTGCAATTGCTAAAATGACTAAATATGGATCAAGGTACCAAGTATGTCATTGTATGGATTTAGAAACAGGTTGAGTGCCAGCTTTATTCCATTCCTTGAATCTATTCATCTGCCGTAATGTTTTTATGTCTTAATAGTTAAAGCTTAGATTTATCAATGTTTAACTTGAAAAATGATATACCTATTTTATGCATTTATTCAAAAATATATAATTATTTTCAAAATACTATTCAGATATTGTACTTGTGTCGGAGCAACTGAACTTATCTCGGCTCTGAGAAACCACTCAGTGTAAAAAATAGAAAGAAACTTTGTCATTTCTATGATTTCATCCCTGCTCTCTTCATTGGTTTCAGGAATTTTTCCATGAGTAGAAATAGTTTTTAGTAAAATAAACTTTTACCCATAAATCTGGCATAATAAACAGCTCCAGGATTGTGAAGTTTGAATCTGTCTGTGGGTGATAGTACCATCAAAGTAAGTTTAGCCAGTTCTTAATAATCTTTACCATATATTCCATCCTAAACAATATTTATTAACAATTAATGATAACTTAAATAACTTAAAACAAAATTAAAATTCAGATAAAACTGGAAAATTATAAGTGAAGTACTATTTTGCTCTATTATTTTTTTTGAAATTGTAAGAAATAATTAGATTTAATTGAATTATTTATAAAGGTTTTAATAAAACTATTTATTACTCTCACCTTTTTAAAAACTTTAGTACTAATTATATATCTGCAAATATAAATTGCATTCAGCTTTTGTTTATTAATCCAGGAACCAATCGGAGTCGATAATCTTTTTAAATCTTGCTTTTCAGTATCTAGATCATTCCAATGTTTTTAAAGAAATTTGAATAATTTATTTTCTGGCACTGAAGAATGACTGCCTGGATAAAATTGGTAACATGACACTCACAAATATGACAACATGCAGTTAACAACATAGGGGGCTGTAAGTGTATAATTATTCTGCTACAAGCTCTTTTTATTTTACCTGTGCTAGCGCTAGTGGTATCAAAGCAAAGGCACTGAAATTTATCATCTAATTCAAAGTTAAAAATGAGTTCTTCTATAGCTTCTTTTTGGTGTTCTCCAGAACCGGAGTCAATAGCTAGAACTAAAATTTTTTTTTCCATCAAAATGAATTGTTATTAGAGAATTTGAAGATTTAGAAATTCTGGTCTCTGATTTCATTTGCACACATAACACAGTGTTCTCTGCTGCTCTGTATGAAGATGAGTTTGAGCATACAAAATCAGACATGCATCCTCCAGAATTGACTATAATACTGCTAAGAATTGCTGTGTGTTGATGTGGAGTTGAACCCTCTCCAACTGCTGTGTGAGCAGTATGATGCAAGATATCCTTGGGTAGGTTAACAGAACTAGGATCAATATGTGTGTCAATTTCAAGTTCACTATCAGTTTTTTTTTTTTTTTTTTTTATAATTTAGCCGTACAAATATTTACAAGTTCCGTAATTTAAAATATTTAAAAATGGCAAGGACGAGAAGAAGACGGGGTTGTCTTATCACCAAGTCCCTAATTGCAGTTGCAATTGCAGTTGAAATACTTTTATTGGTATTAAGAGAACTTGATGAAGTTTCAGAATCTGCATCAGATACATTGTCTAACTTACTATAATTATGTTTAGATTTATGCTTTCTTTTAATTGAGTACTGAAATCTTTTATCCAAACCCCTAACCTTGTTTTCCTTTCCTTTAACTGTATCTTTTCTTATTTTTTCAATCATATGTATTGAGTTTTCTCCAATCCAGAAAACCTTTTTCATATTTTAAGTTTTTTCTCTTTTTCACTTCAGCAGAGTTGTTTCTTTTACTTAAGCCTTTCAGCTTCATCCAGTCCTCCGCCATTTTTTCTTCCTTTATCCTATAAAATGAAATTATTATTATTAATAAGTGCTTAAAAAAACTTGAAAATATATTTTGGTCTTTTTATATGGTATAAAGTTTGGTCTATTATTACCTTAGCTTCTGGGTTGTAATGACTTCAAAGCCACTACGTGTCCACGCAACAACAAGCTTAGATATTATGCAGCAATATAACTGACTGGTAAGACAGTTTGGTGAGAATGATCTACTATTGTTTGGGCATCCAACAAGAAAACTCAGTTTAACTTCAGGTCTAGATTTCCTCAGAAAGTTGTAGCACTGAAGAATTTCTTGTGTAGTAGCAAACTTGTTGTTGGGAATAGTACGATTTATTTTTCCCACAAGAAAAGATTCATCAACTATTTTAGTTTTCTTTTTGGATCTTATAAGTTATTATTATTTTATGTTGATATAAAATTAAATGTTTAAATATTTGTGTGTTATATAAATGAATCATAAATTTAAATTTAAACTTTGAAAACAATTTTTCTCTCTCTACTTTATTTAAAATCTTTTTTATTCTTTACACAAAACTAACTTTGTCAAAAAATTATTTTTTTGAATATAAAGTTATTAAAAAAACCCTAAAATATAAGATATTTTGATACTAAAAGCCGCTTTTTGTTGAAAATAAACAAATACCTAAGTATGAATTAAAAAAAAGAGCCCTTTAAACTTAAGTATTAGAACTTATTACAATTGTAATGGATGATTTATTTTTTAAATTGGTTGAGATTTAAGGGTTCAACAAGGAGGGGGGCAAAGTTTTTCTAAAAAAGGGGCAAAAATTGACCCTTTTGCCCTCTGTGGGGACCTTTCCAATGCTCAAAAAAAAAAATTGTAAAAAATTTTAAGTACTAATTTGGGGTCAGGTCCGAACATAAGCTAGGGCTCTTATCAAAATTTTGACATGAGCTATTTTTAAAAAATATGCTTGGATATATATATATATATATATATATATATATATATATATATTAATGTATATATATATATATATATGTATATATATATATATATATATATATATATATATATATATATATATATATATATATATATATATATATATATATATATATATATATATATATATTAGTGGCAGACTGGGACTAAAAATCGGCCCATGCATTTCATATTGGACCAGCCCACATTAGAGGAAAATTACAAATAGTTCTTTGTAAAGAACATACATTAAGTTCAAATATGTATTATATTAGTTTCATTTGATTTTTTTGATTAATCATCCTAATTTTTTTACCAGCCTATCTGCACACTTTTGTACCGGCCCACCGGGCATTGTCCTGGGACGCCCATATGGCCAGTCCGCCTCTGATATACATATATATATATATATATATATATATATATATATATATATATATATATATATATATATATATATGTGTGTGTATATATATATATAAATATATATATATATATGTGTGTGTGTGTATATATATATAAATATATATATATATATATATATATATATATATATATATATATATATATATATATATATATATATATATATATATATATATATATATATACTAATAATAGAATTATATTATTTATAGCTAAAATGCTAGTTTCTCAAGCAAATAATGTTAAAGTTTACAATCTCTCATCAGGAAAGTCTTTACCTGAGTGGATTTCTGATAGAAAGAAGAGACAGCTTTTAAAAAATGACACTGACTTACGTCGCAGGATTGAACTTATTCAAGATTTTGATATGCCAACATCATCTAATTGTGTACAAGTTTCACCTGATGGACAATATATTATAACTACTGGTGTTTACAAACCAAGGTTAAAATGCTTTCAAGTTGACGAATTATCATTAAAGTTTGATAGATGTTTTGATTCAGAATGTATAAAGTTTGAATTTTTGTCAGAGGATTTTTCTAAACTTGTCCTACTTCAAGCTGATCGCTATGTAGAAATGCATGCTCAGTATGGTCGATATTACAGAACTAGAATGCCTAAATTTGGTAGAGACCTAGCTTATCACAAACCGTCCTGTGATCTGTATCTTGTTGGAGACGGTCCTGAAGTATTTAGACTAAATTTAGAACAAGGTAGATTTTTACAACCATTTGATTCTGAAGTTAATGAAATAAATGTTTGCAAAATTAATCCTGATCATCAAATGCTTGCATGTGGATCAGAAGATGGAAAAGTTGTATGTTTTGATCCACGATCTCGATTGAAAATTGGTACTTTAGATTTAGCTATGTCTGGTGTTAAGTTAGGTAATGATTTACTTTCTTCAGTGACTGCATTAACATTTAGAAATGGATTAGAAATGGCAGTAGGTACTAGCAATGGGAGTATCATGATTTTTGACATCCGTTCAAACAAACCACGTTTAGTTAAAAATCATTTATATGAACTACCCATTAAAAACATAGTTTTTCATGGACAAAATAACAGAGTCCTTTCTACTGATTCAAAGATACTTAAAATCTGGGATCATGAAACTGGTGATAATTTTACTTCAGTTGAACCAGGAGTTACAATTAATGATATGTGTGTTTATAAAAATTCAGGATTAATTTTCTTAGCAAATGAATCATCAAAAAATTCAGTTTATTATATTCCTGCTTTAGGACAAGCACCTAAATGGTGTTCATTCTTGGACAATATTACAGAAGAGTTAGAAGAGTCTAATGAAGTATTAGTTTATGATGATTATAAATTTGTTACAGATACAGATCTTGATAATTTAGGCTTAAGTCATCTTCGTGGGACCGGTCTTGTAAGAGCTTATATGCATGGTTTTTTCATTGACATGAGATTGTATCACAAAGCTAAATCTATAGTTGAGCCATTTGCTTATGAAGAATATAGAAAAAATAGAATTAAAACAAAACTTGAGGAAGAACGTTCTAGTAGAATCAAAGTTAATAAGATGCCAAAAATTAATCGTCATTTGGCAGAAAAACTTTTGGATCAAAAAGCTAACAGTAAAAAAGATGATCTAGTTAATGGTATAAATTTTTAGTTTTTTCACTTTCAAATATTTTTAAATTTACATTTCAGAAACAAATCTATCTACTATAGGGTACATATATATACATTTGGTAAATATTTTTGCTTACTTGATTCCATACAGTTTTTAAAAAAAACAACAAAAAAAAACAAAGAGTAATGAAAAAATTATTGCTTTTCTAACCAAAGCACTTAGTCAATGTTGCAGCACTCCCTGGTCAGTCGATTTAAGTATTGAAGCCCTTGCCAGCTTCCAAATTTATATATGTATATGCATTTTATTTATAATATGTATTATATTTTCTATATATTATATTTATATATATGTTATATTATATATATATATATATATATATATATATATATATATATATATATATATATATATATACATATATATATGTATATATATATATATATATATATATATATATATATATATATATATATATATATATATATATATATATACTATATATATATATATATATATATATATATATATATATATATATATATATATACATATATATATATATATATATATATATATATATATATATATATATATATATATGTATTTCAAATAAATAACAATTTTTTTAAAGCTTTTTAACAATGTTTCATCAATATCAATTGACATCATCAGGTATAAAAAATATGTTAGAATTTCTGTATATAAACAATTTTTTTGGCTACATTAAAAATTTAATAGTTTTTTATAATAGTTACCATATTTGCATAAAATAAATAATTACCATGAAATTTTACAAAAGATTATACAAATGGTGTGAAATAATTAATAACAAACAATATAGGAAATAAAAAGATAATTGAGAAATTATATTGTTATATAGTAATAGTGTATGATTTTAATTGTGTATTAAGAAGAGGTTTTTCCATCTCAAAATGGATACCTTCCTTAATTTTGAGTTCATACTTGGAGGAAGCTCTGTCAATAATGGAAAAGCAATCAGGATTTGTTGAATTTTCGCATTTTTGTGATGAATTAAGGTGCTTGTAAATATGGGAAGCCTTATCTGAATTTAAGTGTTCTGAAACCTTGTTTTGTAGTGTCTGGTGGTTTTATGTAACTATGCTAACTATTGTAAAAAATTATTAGATTTTTAATGTAGCCAAAAAAATTGTATATATACAGATATTCTAACTAATGTTTTATACCTGATGATGTCAATTGATATTGATTAAACATGTAGTTAAAAAATTTTTAAAAAAATTATTATTTATTTGAAAATTATTACTAAATTAGTGCTACTTAGAACATTTGGATTTATATATTTTTGTTAGAACAAGAGAACACGTTCTAAACAACACAGTGTTCCAAATAGTTTAACACTGACAGTGTGCCCCTAAATAACTGAAAAGACAGATTAAATAACAAACAGATATAATTTATGATCGGAGCAGGTTTGACGTGTGTGGGGTAGGTAGCGTTTATCGAAAATCGAAAGTTTGATTTTATTCTTGAACATAGATATTTTTGGCGTTTACAGCTTCTAATATCAAATTACACCAGATATTAACATTTTTGTTGAGGCAAAAGATATTTGTGGATATCGATTTGACATTGTTGTTTGTGTCTCTTATCTGTTTATTGCCATATTATTATATATTCATGTCAGGTCAGGTTATCCTGCTACTGGTAACATGTAACCCAGTACAACCTGTTTCATGTCCTGCTGCTTTGTAGGGTATTTTTTAGACAAAGAAAAGGAGATAGCAACTCTGACTTTTTGTTGTCTGTTTTTATGACTAGGCAACTCATTTTATTTTCTCTTAATGAGGGTACAGCTCTAAAATTCAGGTTTATGGTTCTGAGACCAACTGGTAGTCAGGTTTCCTGAACTCTGTGGAAGTTCCCAGAGAGACTGATTCCATTAAAAGCTGTAAAATATCAGATTTCTAACATGCGCATGGATGGTGCGCATGGATGGTGTTGCGCATGGATGGTGTCCCTGTTCATTCTTTTGGTGTGAGATGTCGAAGCCACATTTGGAGCCCTTTGTCGTGAGTTAGGGTTAGTTGCTTGGACTATTAGATAGTGTACTGAGTACTATCTGTGGTTTGAGTCAAGTTCTTTAACTAATTTAAAAAATGAATAAAGTATTAAAAACTATAAAACACAAAATACCATCATCATCACCAAGTTCTCTAAATCTATAATTCACTAATATTAGTAATATTTGAAATAACTTTTTTCTGTTGAACCTGATTTCTTGCAAAGTTCATCAGACCTACTTGCTCTTTATGAAATTAATTTGAGTTCAGCTGTCTCATCTTGCGATCTAGTGTTGATAATAATCTTCCTTTTATTTCATGAAAACTCCAATAGTCACATGCTTGTCTAGGCATTTAGATTTGTAAGAATTCACCCATTTATTGGGAAACTAGATTTGAATCCACAGACTATTCTTTTATGTGCTTTCGTTTAGCACCACTTCACTCTATGTCCTTTCTCTTTGTTCCATACAATTAATTCTTAATAACTTGAACCTCCAAGGGAACAAGGAAAATGATTAGACTAAAGTGACTTCCTGCTAATTCGAACTTTGGCTAATTTGGGGTATTACTTCTAATTAGGGGGATTTTTCTTTAATCATTGCTTGAGTATAAACGTTAAATATCCATCATTATACTAACAAAAACGTTAAAAATGTTTCAGTAAATTAAGCTACATATTGTATTCACTCTGTAAACTCAAAAAATAGCATTAAAAAAATGTTCAGCTACACAATGACTTCCTTATTATTTGGTGAAAATATTGTACCCAAAGCAATCTTTTATTAGGAATGTTTATTAAAACTTTTAAAAATTTGCTTTTTTAATGCTATTTTATTGAGATTTATTTTGTAACAGTTTTATTATTTTATGTTTTTGAACAATCTGTTCTATTCAGATTTAAATGCAACGAATAAAAATTACAAAAATGTTTATTTATGTTTTATATGGAATGACTTCTGTAAGAAGTTTTGATCAATTTATTTTGATTTCATACTTTCACATGGTAAAATTTTGAGTTAACTAAAGAAATTTGCTGAAAGGGGACAAGAAAAGGGTTTGACTTAACAAACTTTGACTTAACAAAGTTTAAATCTAAGGTTCAACTTAGATTTATAATCTAAATCTAATTTATAACTTAAGTTTTATAAAAGTAATTAATTAGATGATTTCAAGGGACCAAATGAAACAGTTTGAGATAATAAAATTTGAGTTAACCAGTATTTGACTTAATAGGAATTAACTGTATCACTTTTCATCATGAGACTGCACTCTTTTTGATTTAATTTCTAATCAAATTGACCAAGCTTTCTCTTTATCTCTCAACCAATATCACTTTATGACTTTAATACTCATCACACTAAATTGGTTGGCTCTAGTGTTAGTGATTCTGTAGGTGTTAAGGTCCTCAACTTTTGCCTTTCCTTATTGCTAACACAAATACTAAACTTTCCAACTCACTTTCCAGACAATCCGAATCATTTACCTTCTCTACTTGACTTATGTCTTATTTCTGATCCTAGTCAGAGCTCAGTTTCTCCATATTCACCCTTAGGTGCCTCTGATCACAGTTTGATCACTCTAAAACTGTTATTTCATTCTTCTTCATTATCAGAATCCCCCTATCATTTCAAAAATTCTCATCCGACTCATCTAGCTACCTTCCCATTTAATTTTCTTCCTATCATAAGGAGTCTTTAATCAAAAAACACTTCTCTCATCTTGAATCTAATAACTTACTTTTTTATCATCAACATGGATTCGATCTTCTCGTTCTACTGCTGATTGGTTAACAGTAAAAATTGGTAGGTTTTATGGTGCATTAGATTGATGTGAAGAGGTTAAGGCTGTTGACATTTCTAAAGCTTTTGATAAAGTTTGCAATGCTGGTCTTTTCCATAAGCTTTCTTCATATGATGTATCAGGTAACATCTTTAAGATTACGGAATCTTTCCTTTTTAATCTTAGTATAAAAGTTGTCCTCAATGGAGAGCACTCTTCTTCATTTTCTGTTACTTCTTACTTCAGGGGTCCCTCAAGGTTCTATCCATGGTCTTATATTCTTTTAATTTACATAAGCGATCTTCCATAATTTCTTACATCTAAGATGGCATTCTATCACTATATCTTCCTATATTTATTAATGGTAATTTACTCATTAAACATTTTCTCTTCTAGAATTAACTCTTACTTCTGATCTTTCTTGGAAACCATATATTGTTTGTTTTTTAAACAAGTTTTTAGTTTGTTTTTTTTAGCATAAATTTCGGAATAGTTTTTGTTTTATTCTGTTTATTTCTAGTATATGGCCATTATAAGCAAAAATACATATATAAAAACCAACTACAATAATAGCAACAACAAGCTATTTATTTTCCATAAATCATTTTTACAAAAGTGTTAATAATAATAAAAATAATAATATATAATAATAATAATATAACAAAACTACATAACAAGAAATTACATAATGAATACAAATTATAGTAATCGTAATAATAAGTATGTTTACAATAATTACAATGAAAAAATAAATAAATATTATAATGGTAGTTATAAGCATAACATTATTTATAACAATTAAATTATAAATAATTGTATGCTTATAAATTAATAAGTTAATGATTTATTAAGATGGTGTCACTCATGCAGAAATCTGATCAATAAAGTGACACCAAGTCACCAATTTTGAGTTATGTTTTTAATAATTAGCTATAAGTTATTTATAAATCTATACATGTATACTGTATAAAAATGTTTATTTGTCATGTTGTATTTCCTAAATATTGTAATACACTTATAATATACAGGAACTAAACTTGTCCTATGAGAAAATTAACATTACAATTTTTATAATTTAGATATTATTAATTAATATCATGTCAATTTGATATCAGACTTTAAATGTTTAAAGAACTAAACAATCTTAAAATATATCATATAATAACTTAGTCTTACATTGTTTGTTTGTTATATTTGTAAACGAAAAGAAACAAAGCCAGTAGGCCTTATAAAGAAAGCTCTATCCTGCACCTAATTTCCAGAAAAATTTAAATTTTTTTTAATAATTAATATGTTTTATTTATCAATATTCAGATAACAGCCTCTATGAATTTTTATAGCAGCAGAATGGCATATCATCAAAATAGGCAGAAAATTATTTCCATATAAACTTTCTTATTTTACTTATAACCCTAAAAAGTTCAAAAGTTTTTGTTATTTTTCATTAAAATCAGACATTTTTTTGGTGAAATTTTTTATATAATTTAATCAATTTTTTTTTTTTTTTTTGCTGTTTAGATATATCGAATCCTCTTGGTGATGATCGATTTGGTGCCATGTTTATGAATAAAGATTTCCAAGTTGATATGGAAAGTGAAGAGTATAAGCTTCTTCATCCAGTTGTTTCAAAACATGAAAAAGAAAGGTTAAACCAGCAGAGCGATAAATCTGAAAATGATTCTGATGACGATCTTCACCCTTGGCACACAATCAAATCAAAAGATAAAAAGAAAAAAATGACCAAAAAGCAGAAAAATGCTTTTAAATTATATTCTATGCAGAGAGAAGATCTTAATCACTCAGTTTCAATCAATGGTTTAAAGAAATCATCTGTTACAATTGGTGAAATATTATCTCAAGACTTTCAAAAAGATATAATTAGAGAGTCTGGAACTGCTTTAGGAAGCAAAGAAATGACTTTTAAACTGTCATCTAAAAGAGATACAAAAAAAGAAGAGGAAAATAAAATCCATAAAAAAGAGCGTAAAGACCTACGGAGATCTGCTGGAAAAATTGTTGCTAGTGACAATAAACCAAAATTTTGGAGAGGAAAAAAAGTCAGATAAATTTCAATAGATAAATTTTTAAAAAAATTTCATAAGGTTTTGTTATTAATTTATTATATATTCTTATTGCATATTTTTTATTTTTTGTACAATTTTAGATCATTCACCTTAATTATTCAAATTTAGTGGTGGTTTCAAGGGGTGATTCTACCCAACCCAGGGGTAGAATTATATCAGGTTCCGATTGGATTGTGTTTAACCCAACTTCTGATTTGAGCTTTTATTTTGTTGTAGATAGAAATTTATTTGGTTATTTAACTGATGATAAAAATTAAAACCAATTAAAAAAAAAGGATGTGGATGTTTCTTCCACATTCTCAAAAGAATTTTAATCAGCGTGGAAAATATTGGCTGCTTAATGGTCAACAACCAACCAAAATGACTAAAATTATTATTTTGACCTCCCAAAAATAAGTTCTTGCTGGTCATGGTTGACCAGTTTTATAAAATGAAAAAACATTTAAATTTTGAACGATAATTATTAAGGTATGCTTTGGTGATGAATATGTGGCGTCAACTATATCAAATAATTTTTTTGCTTCACTTAAGGTAATACAGTAATTAGATAAAAAATTATACTTTTACAAGTATTTTTTTCTTCTCACATTGTTTAATATACTATTAGCTAAAAAAAGTTGCAAAATTAAAAAGAAATTTTAAATTATTATTTGTTTAATATTAAGAGTCAAAAAATGGGATCTAGCAACCGATTTTTTAGCAATTGTTCATAATTTATGATTGAAATTTTGGCTGGTGATATATTATGTATGTCATTGTGTCAAGAGCAAAATATCTTAAAAAAATATAAATTAAAAGAAGCAGTTTTTTCTAGTGTATGTTGTAAATAGTAATACAATAAATAAGTAGGCCAATTAATTTTATAATTAGTTTTAAAAATATCTGTGTTGCCAGCCCATAAAACAAGATTTTGAGAGAAATGTAAGTCAAAAAAAAAGGTAAACAAATAAAGTTCAAAATACTTCACTTTGTTACATTACACCAAATAATGTTTTACTTTGATCACAAAAACTGTTTTGTATTAATATTACAATTTTTTCTCTTGATTTTGTTTCATAGTTACATTGCTTTTCTGCTTTAGAGACTTTTTGGTCCTTTCATAAACTACAATTTTGCCCATTATTACTTAATATCATTCCAAACACATTAAAAAAGTTGTTTATCATAGAATTTAGAACAGCTGATTTTTCTTCAATACTGTTAGAGCAGTTTTTTCAAAATAAATATTGTTTAGATCTCCAATAGTTAGATTTAACAATTCATTGAAACTCTGTTTTTTTCCATGTAAACATTTTTTAGAAAAGTTATAAGAAGAAATGACTTTAAATATTCATTTGTTATTGTACACAGCAGCTATAATAAAAAATTTAAGTATATTGTTTTTCAGCCTTTTTTCAGACAGTAATTTGTACCATAAACCTTTTAATGCACTTTCAAAACTGATGGAAATCTTTTACCCATTTCATGAAATGCTACATCATTAGGGTTTATGTCAATTGGTTTATGCCAAACACACTTATATTTAACTAGATCATTTTGTTTTGCATTAGAGTTCTTTTAAGCAATAGTAGTAGATATATGGTTTCTCATTAACAACCATTCCAACAATTTTTTAGTCCACTACCTAGGCTCACTTTTTTTGAAAAATTAAAATGTAAATTTACAAAATCTTCACATCTAGACATTTAAGAAGCATAACTATGTTTTTAGATAAAATATTTTAAAATTCCTGTACAACTTCTTAGTTCGACAACTTCTTCGACAACTTCTTCGACAACTTATTGAAGAAGGATGAGTTTAGAAAAATTTTAATTGAACTTCAGTCTAAAAATATAACATTGGTTTCGTAATATAATAATATATAATAATTGCTCTATTAGACTAATTACTACTTGAACACTTTACCTTTAAACTGTACTTAACCATCTTTTTTTTTTTCTTTAAATTTTTTGATTTATTTTTTTGTAAGTTTTAGCCACAAATTGCAATGAATTAATGAATGATTAATAGAGAAATTTATAATTACTAACTTATAATTACTAATTACTAACTGTTTACTTTTTTTTTCTGTAATAAAAGTTGTACAATCATTTTTTTCTTTAACATTTTTAAATAATAAAGTTCTTAAATAATAAAGTTTCACTAAAGAATAAAGTTCTTATTTTTTTAATATTTGATATTGCTGTATGTAACAAAAAACATTTCTCTCTTCCGACTGTATTATTATTTATTTATTTTTTCATTCAATCTTTTCAATTATTTTTCTTGTAGCTTTTCCCGCCATTTGTGAAGTCATCGCAATGAATGAACGATTTTTAAATAAATTTAAACATATCATTTGGGCATTTGCACATTTTTTATCCATCATTTTTTATCCATCATTTTACTATCATTTTTTATTATTTTTTATTGATTTGTAGTTGAATCATTAAACCCATAAAAATCAAAAAACCCATTAAAAAAAAGCGGAAAAAAAAATCAAAACTAAAATGAGATAATCAATATCTTTATTTTTAACTCAAGCAGCAATGAAGTTAAAACTACCTTTTAGTATTAGTAGTAATAATATTAGTAATTGATGTAACTGGTGTAAGCCAGTGAGTGTGGTATTAACACACTATGACAGCTGATTCGCTTGATTGCTGCTCATCCAACAATCAAGACCTGCCTTAAAGTTGTTAACTAATTGTGCATTAACCAACTTGCTTGGCAAGCTATTCCATAAATTGGCTGATCTATCAAATAAAAAGCTGTGACCTCTCCTTTAAGTTTGTTGAATTTTATTAATTGTTTCCAAATAGTTAAAATCAATAAATTAAAAAGTTGAAACCTCTTGAAAAGAAATCTACAGTAGAAGTTCTTTAATCTTATATTTGAAAATATATTTTTAGTAAAAACTTCGTTTTGTGTAGCATAACTTAATGTAATAGTGTAAAGCATGGGGCTCACAGTGGCTGGTGAACTTTAATTCAGATAAAACTCAATTTTATTCGGCCAATCGTTATCGTAATAATTTAGATCTTCCTATATTTATGAATGGTAATGTACTAGATGAGTCATCTACCATTCATCTTCTAGGATTAACTCTTACTTCTGATCTTTCTTTTAAACCGTATATCAAATCCATTGCAAAATTAGCATCTGCTAAGGTTGCATCTCTTTATCGAGCTCGACACTTTCTTACTCCAGATTCTATTCTCTATCTCTATAAATCTCAAATCCGTCCCTGTATGGAATACTGTTGCCACATCTGGGGCGGATCTTCTAATGATGCTCTTTCTCTTTTAGACAAGGTGCAAAAACGAATTGTAAACATAGTTGGACCTGCTCTGGCAGCCAATCTCCAACCTTTGTCACATCGTCGTAATGTTGCTTCTCTTTCTCTTTTCTACAAATACTATAATGGGCACTGCTCTAAAGAGCTAGCGTCCCTTGTGCCATCTACTAAAATTCATTCTCGTGTTACTCGCCATTCAATTAAGTCTCATCCTTTTTCTGTGACTGTTCCTAAGTGCTTCAAAAACTCTTATTCTTCTAGTTTTTTTCCTCGAACATCAGTTCTTTGGAATTCGCTTCCTTCATCTTGCTTTCCTGATTCATATAATTTGCAATCTTTTAAGTCATCAGTCAATCGTTATCTTGCTCTACAGATTTAGTCTTTTCTCTTCCAGTAACTTCCAACTCTTATAGTGGTTGCTTGCAGCCTTGTTGGAAGTGAAGATGTTAAAAAAAAAAAAAAAAAAAAAAAAAAAAAAAGCAATTTATTATTAGGCATTTTGTAAAACAATTTCTTTTAGCATTTAGTATTCAGTTTACATTTTTAAAGTATTTTTATAAAAAATTTTTAATATTAGGAAAAAAAATTTAACTATGCGCAAGAGAATTTTTAAAAACTATTAACGTTAGGAGATGGTTAAAACGCTTGTTATTTGCAAGTTACCATTTTAAAAATGATTTTATTTAAAAAATTTAAAAGAAATATGGATTCTTTAATTTTCATTTAAAGTTATTTTTGTGTTTATTAGTTTATTACTTATTATTATTATTTATTACTTAATATTATTATAAAGTTTATTATTATTATTTTGTTTAAGTTTATTACTTATTATAAAGTTCAGAACTAATACGAAGATAGATGTTTAAATAAAGAAAATAAGAAAATTTTGACTGTCAAAAAAAAACAAATTGACTGTCAATTCCATGTGTTAACCAGTCAAATTGACAGCTTGCCTTCGATTCTTATTTTCCACGCTGGTTTTTATTGTTAACTAATTTTTTATTTTTAATCTTTAAAAACTACTAGAGTTTTTGCTTTGCACTTATACACTCATTGATGGTATTGGCTCCTAAACATGTAAGTTAGGTTTAGTTACATGTAAATAGCTCTAATCACATGCAATAGTATGTAAAAACATGGAAATTAATGTTTAGGGCTAGTTACATGTAATAAGTCCTAATCATAAAAATTTAGGCTAATTACATGCAAAACATTAAATTGAAAACAAACAAAAACATCAACTATTAAATATAATTAAATAAAAATATAATTTTATTTAACATTTATTATGTGGCATAGCAACCATTAAGTATATTTATATATAATGATATTTATATTTACATATAGTTAATATAGTTATGAATAATAATAAATATTATTATATAATAAGTATATATAAAAGTGTGTATATATATATATATATATATATATATATATATATATATATATATATATATATATATGTATTCTAACTTTTATATATACTTTTTATATAATAATATTTATATATATATGTGTGTGTGTGTGTATATATATATATATATATATATATATATATATATATATATATATATATATATATATATATATTGTATTCTAACTTTTATATATACTTTTTATATAATAATATTTATATATATGTGTGTGTGTGTGTATATATATATATATATATATATGTATATATATATATATATATATATATATATATATATATATATATGTGTGTGTGTGTGTGTGTATATATATATATATATATATATATATATATATATATATATATATATATATATATATGTATTCTAACTTTTATATATACTTTTTATATAATAATATTTATATATATATATGTGTGTGTGTGTATATATATATATATATATATATATATATATATATATATATATATATATATATATATATATATATATATATATATAAACTTTAAGAAGTATTTGAGTGTAACAAATTCATAAATGTCTTCTCTATCCTTTGCTGGTCGTGTTGCTGTGATAACTGGTGCTGGAGGTGGGCTTGGTAGAGAATATGCCTTAGAGTTTGCTAAACGTGGCGCACAAGTTGTTGTTAATGACCTAGGTGGTAGTTTTAAAGGTGAAGGTAGTAGCACATTATTGGCAGATCAAGTAGTTAAAGAAATTATTAATGCTGGAGGTAATTTTTTTGTTTTCTAAAATTAGTAATTTTAATTTTTAATCCTATTTCTTAATTCCTAATTATTTTATTTTTTATTTCTTAATTGTTATTTCTAATACTTGATGAGTCATCTACCCTTCATCTTCTAGGATTAACTCTTACTTCCTATTTTTCTTAGAAACCATATATCATATCAATTGCAAAATTAGCTAAGGTTGCATCTCTCTTATCGTTCTCGCCACTTTCTTACTCCAGATTCTATTCTTTATTTCTATAAATCTCAAATCCGTCCTTGTATGGAATACTATTGCCATGTCTGAGGCAATTTTTCCAATCATGCCCTTTCTTATTTAGACAAGTTGCAAAAACGCATTGTTAACATAGTTGGAGTTGCTCTTGCAACTCCAACTATGTTAACTCATCTTAATGTTGTTTCACTTTCTCTTTTCTATAAATACTATAATGGACACTGCTCTAAAGAGCTAGCTCCTTGTGCCATCTACTAAAATTCATTCTTGTATTACTCGTCATTCTATTAAGTCTCATCCTTTTTCTGTGACTGTTCCTAAATACCCTAAAATTTGTTCGTCCAGTTTTTTTCCTTGAACATCAGTTCTTCGGAATTTGTTTCCTTCATCTTGTTTTCCTGATTCATATAATTTGCAATATTTTAAGTTGTGTGTCAATCATTATCTTTTCTCCTTCAGTAACTTCCAACTCTAATATTGGTTGCTTCCAGCCTTGTTGGAAGTGAAGATGTTAAAAAAAAAATCATAATATTATATAAAGTAATTATTGTTTATATTATTATTATTATTATTATTATTATTATTATTAATATTATTATTATTATATTACTATTTAAAATTAATTTTATACCAAAATATAGCTTCTTTAGTCCCCAAATTATATAAGATAATAAGTTCCGATTCTAATTTTTTAGACAAGTATTCTTAAATAGAAGTCTTCAATGAATTTGCTAAAAATTAAAAAATTCCCCCTCTATTTATTTTTTTGTTTTTATCTATTTATTTAACCATAAAAATACAAATTACAAATTACATTATAATTTACAAAATTAGGAGCGGTGTCACTCATAGTTCAAAACTAGTCAATGGAGTGTATTACCTTAATAAAATAAATAAGACAAGGAAATAATAAAAAGAGTTAACTACAAAAAAAAATAAGTAATAAAATAAAAAAAACCAAATCAACAGAAAAAAATGCAAAAAAAAAATAAATACATTAAACATTATTTATATACATAAATACATGACATATAAACAATGTACAAAATTAATTCAAATTGTTCTTTTTCTTTTCTTTCCATAAAATATTAGTGGTAGAAAAAACTTAATACTTAATATTTTGTTATTTTTAAAGTTTTTTTTTCTTTTCTATTCTAAGAAAAAAAGCTTTCTGTTTACTTATAACAAACAGCTGATCTTGAATCTGATATCACTTCTGTAACAGCTTGGGGCTTGCAGTGTGTTTTTAAACTCAAACAAAATTCAGTTATTTACTAGAAACAACTATTTGCAATACTGTTGACATTTCTGTATTGATGAATGACAACCCTCTCAATGAGTACTCTTATTTAGATGGTATGGGACACCAATCTTTTAATTTTTGTTTTTTTCATTTTTTCTGAAAACAACATATGCTGTAAAAGTAAGAAAAACTAGTAACAATTCGTAATCTATATGTATATATGTATTTATAATTGTATATATATATATATATATATATATATATATATATATATATATATATATATATATATATATATATATATATATATATATATATATCAGGCTTGGTTGGGAAGCGGTAGTGATCGCTCTCGATTACTGACCATGGAGATAATATTTAGTTGCGAAAAACTGGCCAGATTTTTTAGTCATTTTGTGAACATTTCAAAAAGCAAAAAAAATGTGCAAAAGATTAATTTTTTTTTTTTTTTGTTAATACACCTCCTCAAGGCCGAGAAAGCCACTACAGACGAGGAGGCTACTTATTTGTGGTTATATAACCCTCTCTCAACTCTATAACTCAGAAACACAAACCTTGACGAACAAGGCTGCTGCACGGAGAAATGAGTTGAGCGCAGTATGACCAGGGACGTGGTGGGGATTGAACTTGGAACTTGGACTGATGAGAGACAATTACAAAACCAAATAAAAAATTAGTAAAATAAATTATCTTTTAACAGGAAAAAACTTAAAGCAAAATAAATTACGTTTAGAATAAATATTTTCGAAACATCACTTTTTTATAATTTTTTTATAAAGTTAAGCAATTTTTTTTTTATATAAAGTAATATCTTACGATTGTTTAAAAAGGAAACAAATGTTTTTTATTTATCAAAGAGTGTTATATTTTTTAATTTTTATTTATATAGTCTTATTTCCAGAGCTAGATTAAGGAGGGTTGGGGTTAATAACTTTATTGAAAACGCAATTATTTTTGCAAGTCTTTGTTTACAAATTAAATCCTAAATATATATATATATTTTCTATTTTTATTTATACATATTTAAATTTATTTTATTATAAAAATTTATTTTTTACATTATTTTTGTTATTTTTATTTATTTATTTTATATTATACTTCATTTTTAACTTCAACTATTACAAAATTGATTAATTACAATAATATAACCAAATTTAAACCTTGCGGTAACCCTAAGCCTGACCTTGATGCCTGGCCTAATTAAACGTTCAGTCGATGTAGCAGCACTCCCTTGCGAGTCAGGCTATGTATTTTTCGTTCTAAAAGTATATATATATATATATATATATATATATATATATATATATATATATAATGAATCTTTATTTATAGGAAAGGCTGTAGCAAACTATGATTCAGTTGACAATGGTGAACAAATAATTAAAACTGCAATTCAAGAGTTTGGTAAAGTTGATATTCTAATTAATAATGCTGGAATTTTGAGAGATCGATCATTTTCAAAGATGTCTGATAAAGATTGGGAACAGATCTTTAAAGTAGGTTTTACAAACTTTTATAACTCTTCATTTTGAAAGTATTTTAAAACTGTGTCTAGTTTTATTTAAATACTGTTTTTTGTTTTCTTTTTTAGGTTCATGTTGATGGTGCATTTAAATGCACACAAGCTGTGTGGCCTTATATGCAAAAGCAAAAATTTGGTCGAATTATTATGACCAGTTCTCCAGCTGGTTTGTATGGCAACTTTGGTCAGGCAAATTATTCTGCTGCAAAAGCTGCATTAATTGGACTTATGAATACTTTAAGTATTGAAGGTAAAAAAGCAAATATAAATGTTAACGTTATTGCTCCACTTGCAGAAACACGAATGACTGCAGATATCCTTCCTGGTGCTGGACTTCTGCCAGAGCATGTTGCTCCATTTGTAGTATTTATGTGTCATGAATCTTGCGTTGATACTGGGATTATCTTGGAAGCTGCAGGTGGTTTTGCTTGTAAAACTCGACTTCAGCGTTCTCAAGGTATACAACTTAGAAAGTATATTGGTGACAAGCCAACTGTTGAATGTGTTCAAAAAAATTGGACAAAGATAAGTGATTTTAGCTTGTCATGTAATCCAAGATCTGTACAAGAAGCTTCAAATAAAATTATGGAATCTATAGGAGATTTACCATCAGAGCCTCTGTCTACTTCAGCAAGTTTGCTAGAAAAAGTCAGGTCGTATAAGTTTCCAAGTATAACTGTTATCTATGACCAAAATGATATAATTAAATATGCTTTAAGTGTTGGATCTAGTTTACCTGATGATAGTCAGTTTCTATATGAAGGTCATGCAAATTTCAGCGCTATTCCTACATTTGCTGCCATCCTGTCACAGGTTACACATTTGTTTTTAGATGTTCTAAATATAAAAACTTAAAACATAAAAAAAAGTATAAGCTTTAAGTTCAAAAGTTTTTTGTCTCTTTAAAATTTTTATCCAATTAATTTTTATCTCTGTTATTAATAAAATAATTGCAAAGAAACAGTGAAATGTTGTTTAACATTGTATTACGTTGTATTTAAAATTTCTTAATGTCATTTACATCCTAATTACATCACGTTCCACATTAAAAGTAGTGTAATGCTAATATTATAATATATTATTATCAAACTTAATGCAACCGCTGTCATTACTCTTTTGTTTGTGTCATTACTCTTTTGTTTGTAATGGCAGCCATTAAAGCCAAGTTAATGGCAAGAAAGAGTTGCAGCACATTTTAAATAAGAAAATAGTAAGAAAAGTGTATGCAAATATCTCACTTAAAAAATAATCTTGAAAATTACATTACAGCATATCTTCTTAATTTTGATTTAGAATTTTATTAAGAAATTTAGTTTAAATGATTTCATTTGTTTTGATGTCTTTAAATGCTCACTAGCAGTTGTGCAGCATTTTAATGGAGTTTTTTGTTTTAATGAGCTCGAAGAAATTTGTGTACTTGAAGTTCTATGCTTTTGTATTTTTTGTATTTTATTATTTTTGTATTTTAGGAATTTCTATAAATTTATACCTCTTGTTTTTTAAATAAAAATTATAAATTTAAATATTATAATATTTATTTAAAAATGGTTTCATAGTATTGTAGGTCTTAATGGCGAATAACTTGCTCTACTTTCTGAAGTGCGTTAAAGGGGTTCAAATCCTTTTACTTGCACATTTATTTATTTTTTTTAAATCTTTTTCAGTTTTTTAAAATACAAAATAAAACATTTTTATAGTTCTATACATATTATATACATAACATATATAAAGATATTATGTATTATAACAAATAAAAGAGATTTAAAAAAGCCTAAAATTTGTAAAACATCAAAACACCAGGGGAAATTTATTGCACATATGTCATAATATATATATATATATATATATATATATATATATATATATATATATATATATATATATATATATATATATATATATATATATATATATATATATATATATATATATATATATACATATATATATATATACGTATAGGCCTTGTTTTAAATTAAAAATGCTTAATGCATTAGCTTAACGTGATATTTGATGTCATAAAATTATTTTTTTACTCTTTATTTTTTTATTTTTTAAAAACATTAACTTTTTTAAACTATTGCAATAATATTAATTATTACAAAATGATTTAAATGTTATTTAATGGCTTTTTTATTATTACTATAAAGGAATGTTTATTTTATTTTATTATTTTTAATATTAAATAATTAAATTTAATATTGCATTTTAAAAATACTTGGTATTAACAAATTTTTTTATTTCCTCTACATTTGCATAAATGAATTAAAGTATGTTAAATTTTTGAGTTTATAAAATGATTATTTTTTAAATTCTAATTTAAATTCTAAAGCTTTGCAGCTACAAATGATTTTTTATTAAAAAAAAAAAATTAAAGAGTAAATAAAAATAATAAACAAATTATGTTAATTTATTTACTTCATTTATTCAAAGTTTATTATTTTATTAAAGATATATTGCTGAATATATTGTTTATTAAAAAATAATCGCTGCAATTTAACTTGCGTTATAAAAAAAGTTTAACTTACGTTTTTTGCAAACTTTTTATGTAGCCATTTATTTAATTTAGTTTTGACTAAAAAAAAAATTTTGTTTGTATTTTAATTTTTTTATGTCTAATTATACTTACTATACTGACACATTTTTTCTACCGTTTTCCACGAGACGGAAATTTTTTTTTTAGTTTTAGCGTTTCACTGCAGCAAAAAATAAAGTCAGATTTATTTTGACTTTTTGCGAATCACCATAAGCAAAAACCAATCAAGTTATGAATATTATATCATGTGATGTCAACAGTAAAAAAAGCATGTTGTTTTTAAGTAACAAAAAACACAATTCTTTACCTGGCATTCTTATTGATTTTATATGAACTTTATCTGAAAATTAGCAAGCATGAGTAAATTCATCTAATAAAGAACAAGATTTAAATTGATAATTTACAAATTTGCAGACTGACAATTACGAAAGTTACACTTCATTAAAATGTTTATCTTCAAGTGGCCACATGAAAACCTTTTTGTCAAAAATCCTACATAGAGTTACTGTTCTTGCAGCAATTTTTTTTTAACAGAAATGTTTATATCAGAGTTTAGCATTTATTGTCTTATACTTTTTTATAAAAAACTTTATATTGAACTATTTTATTACAAAATGATATCACATCTTACTTACAAAGACAGAAATGTTAAAATTAATGGATGGAAAGAAATTTCCACATGCTTTAAAGTAAAAAATTGGCTAAAAAAGTAATAATTGCTTTTAGTTAAACATGCAGTGTAAACTTATTGCTGTCATTTTTATTGTTGACAACGAAAAAAAAGTAGCGTAAAAGAATGTAAATGGAAATCAAAATTACGTTTTGTCAGCGAAAAAATTTGCTTCGCATGAATGTTTTTTCTTGTAAAAAACAAGCTTTATACTGCCTAAAAATTTTAACTTTGCCAATCAAAAATAACTGTAGCTTTGTTTTTGCTACAAAATTTGTAGCAATTTTGAAACAATGTTGTCAATGGTTTGAACATTAAATCTGAAACTAGTCAAATCAAGTATCTAGTGTTGGCTATAATCTTGTGATAAACAATTGAGTCAAGTAATTTTTAGGTAAAATGATTTCTTTTCCAACTGCAATCTAAATAATATTAAATGAAATCTAAATAATAATCATAATCTGAATGACAAAACTTTTAATTAACTTTCATTACTCTGCAATCATATAACTGCCTTGGATTTGTCAATAGTGTACCAATCACGACAACTTTTTGCTAATAGTTTTTTTTACACATAATATAATCTAAATCTTCAAGTTGCATAGATGACAAATTTTTAAATAATTTTCTTATTTCTTCTTATTATTATTTTATTTACTATTATTAAAATTGTAATTAATTTGTAATTATCATTATTGCACATGATATAAACACAAAAAATTCAGGTATAACAAAGAGATAAAAAAATGCTGTTTTTTATATATATAATAATTACAAATACATTTGTATTTGTAATATCATTATTGCACATGATATAAACACAAAAAATTCAGGTATAACAAAGAGATAAAAAAATGCTGTTTTTTATATATATAATAATTACAAATACATTTGTATTTGTAATTATCATCATTGCACATAATATAAACACAAAAAATTCAGGTATAACAAAGAGATAAAAAAATGCTGTTTTTTATATATATAATAATTACAAATACATTTGCATTTGTAATATCATTATTGCACATGATATAAACACAAAAAATTCAGGTATAACAAAGAGATAAAAAAAATGCTGTTTTTTATATATATAATAATTACAAATACATTTGTATTTGTAATTATCATCATTGCACATAATATAAACACAAAAAATTCAGGTATAACAAAGAGATAAAAAAATGCTGTTTTTTATATATATAATAATTACAAATACATTTGTATTTGTAATTATCATCATTGCACATAATATAAACACAAAAAATTCAGGTATAACAAAGAGATAAAAAAATGCTGTTTTTTATATATATAATAATTACAAATACATTTGTATTTGTAATATCATTATTGCACATGATATAAACACAAAAAATTCAGGTATAACAAAGAGATAAAAAAATGCTGTTTTTTATATATATAATAATTACAAATACATTTGTATTTGTAATTATCATTATTGCACATGATATAAACACAAAAAATTCAGGTATAACAAAGAGATAAAAAAAATGCTGTTTTTTATATATATAATAATTACAAATACATTTGTATTTGTAATTATCATCATTGCACATAATATAAACACAAAAAATTCAGGTATAACAAAGAGATAAAAAAATGCTGTTTTTTATATATATAATAATTACAAATACATTTGTATTTGTAATTATCATCATTGCACATAATATAAACACAAAAAATTCAGGTATAACAAAGAGATAAAAAAATGCTGTTTTTTATATATATAATAATTACAAATACATTTGTATTTGTAATTATCATCATTGCACATAATATAAACACAAAAAATTCAGGTATAACAAAGAGATAAAAGAATGCTGTTTTTTATATATATAATAATTACAAATACATTTGTATTTGTAATTATCATCATTGCACATGATATAAACACAAAAAATTCAGGTATAACAAAGAGATAAAAAAAATGCTGTTTTTTATATATATAATAATTACAAATACATTTGTATTTGTAATTATCATCATTGCACATAATATAAACACAAAAAATTCAGGTATAACAAAGAGATAAAAAAATGCTGTTTTTTATATATATAATAATTACAAATACATTTGTATTTGTAATTATCATTATTGCACATGATATAAACACAAAAAATTCAGGTATAACAAAGAGATAAAAAAATGCTGTTTTTTATATATATAATAATTACAAATACATTTGTATTTGTAATATCATTATTGCACATGATATAAACACAAAAAATTCAGGTATAACAAAGAGATAAAAAAATGCTGTTTTTTATATATATAATAATTACAAATACATTTGTATTTGTAATTATCATTATTGCACATGATATAAACACAAAAAATTCAGGTATAACAAAGAGATAAAAAAAATGCTGTTTTTTATATATATAATAATTACAAATACATTTGTATTTGTAATTATCATCATTGCACATAATATAAACACAAAAAATTCAGGTATAACAAAGAGATAAAAAAATGCTGTTTTTTATATATATAATAATTACAAATACATTTGTATTTGTAATTATCATCATTGCACATAATATAAACACAAAAAATTCAGGTATAACAAAGAGATAAAAAAATGCTGTT